GATATATATCCCCCTGGGGTATATGGAGTGTTAGGGGAGGAATAGTACCTATAATGAGAGACATGTGCTGCTTCTGGGGTTGTTTGTCCACTTTCGGTGCTCAGCTTGCACTCGGCTCTCCTAGAAGCTGTCAACATGAGACAGTGGCCACACCCCAGGAAAGGGTTTGCCTGGCCGGCGCTAAATCAGGTGAGGATAGCCGATGGGTCTCAAACCCTCCCTGAATTAGGGACTTGCCCTGCATGTGAAGATGGGCTGATTGAGTGGACGAGACCAGTAGTGGGTCCAAGGCAGTTTCTGCATGTGCTGTAGAGGGAAGTGAGGGGCAGATGGGGCTCATCAACATGGGAAGGTAGCCCATTGAGAAGGAAAAAACTGATCCTCAGATCCCTTATGGGATATCTTCAGGAGAAGAAAAGGCTAAGGAGTAAACCCTACACAAATCTGGAGTGGAGTCCCTAAGACGGCTGGATGGCGTCTTGTACGCCTCGTCCTGGCAACTCCTGCAGCCAAACTGGTACCCAACATATTGCTCTGCTCTCCTTTGGACCACATCAATGAGGCCGAGGGGGTGGTCTTGTCGTCTGGGCAGCCATACACACTGCCCAGGCTTACGCTCCAGGAAGGTCACTTTGGCACTGCTAATGCAGCAGTTTGATTTCACCTGTGGAGACGCACTGTATTGTCTCTCAAGACAGATGCAAAATATAACCTCACTACTCATCCAGCAGGGGATGCGGGTGGCGCTGTGGGTTAAACCACAGAGCCTAGGACTTGCCAATCAGAAGGTCGGCGGTTCAAATCCCCGCGACAGGGTGAGCTCCCGTTGCTCAGTCCCAGCTCCTGCCAGTTCGAAGGCCTGTCAAACTGCAAGTAGATAAATAGGTACCACTCCAACGGGAAGGTAAACGGTGTTTCTGTGCGCTGCTCTGGCTCGCCAGAAGCGACTTAGTCATGCTGGCCACATGACCCGGAAGCTGTACGCCGGTTCCCTCAGCCAATAAAGCAAAATGAGCGCTGCAACCCCAGAGTCGGCCACAACTGGACCTAACGGTCAGGGGTACTGCCATTGTTTGTGAAGGGGCAATAGTTTAGAGTAGAGCTCAGGTCCAGTCCTCAGCATCTCAAAGGGCCTCATGTACATGGAAGTAAGTCTACTCAAGAGCCCAGAGAGGCTGTGTCAGTCAAAACAGACAGCACTTTCCTAAATGTGTCTTCATGCTACATTTCAAAGGCCACTCCTGTTCTGAATGTAAACTCTTGCACTGATCCTAATCCTCTTTATGTAACAGATGTATTCTCTGCTGATATTTGTTAGGCATCCCCTTTACTGGGAAACAAATATTTAATTCTTTTAACCTCCACAAGCCCCAACCAGGCTAGGAATGAGCTGGATTTTATTTTGGCCTAGCAGCATGGCTGCAAAGGTCAAAGGCTGTGTCCTCAATTGATCCATCTTAATCTGTAAGGCAGCCAGGCTTTAAACAGCAGGCCTGCTTCTTGCTGAGGGAATGGTTCTCTCAGCACTGGATATGGGGCGGTGCAGGCGGTTCTCCTGCACAGGGTGCTGAGCTGAGGGGGCACAAAGCTGAGAAGGGCCATAATTGAGAAGATCTATTTTGGGGCACCAAATTTTGTCCTCTCACCCAATTCCACCCCTGAGTTGTCTGTCGGGATTTCTGGTGGGGGCTTGCAGGATAGACAGAGTGCTCCAAGGATGGCCACTTGCACAACACCAAAAAACAGTATTTGCCTGCGAGCAGCATATGAGTGTTGGTGCTGACCTTTAACGCCCTAAACGGCCTCAGCCCAGTATACCTGAAGGAGAGTCTCCACCCCCATTGTCCAGCCTGTAGACTGATGTCCAGCGCCAAGGGCCTTTTGGCTGTTCCCACACTGAAAGAAGTGAAGCTACAGGGAACCAGGCAGAGGGCCTTCTTGGTAGTGGCGCCTGCCCTGTGGAACGCCCTCCCATCAGATGTCAAGGAAACAGTGGTGGAGCTTCATGTTCTGGCACCGGGGGGTGGAGAGCAGGCGGGGTGGGGCTGACACGCGTCCCGGGGGCGTGGCACGCCACCCACAGGGGCGTGGCGCATGTCCCAGGGGCATGGCGTGCCGCCTGAGGGGGCGTGGCACCCAGCATGAGCAGGGGAGCAGCTGCTATGGCACCCCACCAGGATTACACTGCCGGGGGCGGTGCGCTCCCCCCGCACTCCTCTTCCTCCGCCAGTGCAAGGAAATAAACAACTATCTGACTTTCAGAAGACATCTGAAGGCAGCTCTGTTTAGGGATGTTTTTAATGTTTGATGTTTGATTGTGTTTTTAATATTCTGTTGGAAGCTGCCCAGAGTGGCTGGGGAGGCCCAGCCAGATGGGCGGGGTATAAGTAATAAATTTATTATTATTATTATTATTATTATTATTATTATTATTATTATTTGCACAAGAGCACTCTCCCTTCCTGTGGTTTCTAGCAACTGGTATTCAGAATCATTGCAGCCTCCAACTGTGGAAGCAGAGCATAGTCATCATGGCTAGAAGCCACCAATAGCCCTCTCCTCCATGAATTTGCCTAGTCTTCATTTAATTCATTGGATGTCCACGAGTTCTAGGGCCTTGAGAGAGACTGAAAAACTCTCTATCCCTTTCCTCCATGGCATGCCTAGTTTTATAAACTTCCGCCAAGTCACTTCTTACCTTTAAACTAAGAGGTCCCAAAGGCTGCATCCTTTCCTCTAGCATTCTAGTGCTGTGAGCGAGAAAAACTTTTCTCTACCCACTTTTCCTGTGACATGCTTTGTTTTATACACGTCTATCGTGTTTCCTCTTACTCACTTTTTCTCCAAATTAAAAAGCAATAGAAAAACAGAGCCCCAAAATCCTGCAAGTGGAAAAGTAGCATAATAGATAGACATTTAAGTTAGAATCCTTCTCCCTGACTGAGGGCTCAATACAGAGGGGACTTTGCATACAGAGAAATTGTCTTATTATATGAGACGATGGGTGGATCTAAACACAGGAAAAAACGCTATTAATGTCACAAATTAGATTGTTTTAACAGAAGAAAAAAAATATTTATGGAAAACTGCATTTTAAAATTTCCTGCTCTCTGGCGCCATCTGGTGCAGCATGTTCACAGCACATTCAAATCACTGTTTCTTTACTAATGTAACTGAGTCCTACACCTTGTCTGAAACGGTCCAGTGTGGACAGAGGTTTACAACCTCAGTGAAAATAAAGCCAAGGGGAGGAAGAAAAAAAGTCATTATCTTTAGATGCTGCTTGCGGCTTTGTGCCCCACGGTGAGCTTGCCGACCCAAATTGCCAAAATGAAATGTTGCAAGGGAATTTGATCGGGAAGCCACTGAAGTAATAACTCATGAACTCCACACAGCTATTTTTACACAGACGTTTTCACAGCTAGAACCAGACATATTATACAACTGGGGAAGAATGGAGTTGTCATAGGGCAATACATACAAACCTGAAATAAAAATATGAATGTGACTGTGTGCATGGTGCTTGATTGTGCAGTTTCTGTTTGTATCTGGGTCTCTTGCTTATCTGGGTTGCCCTGAAACAGCCTTGCGCAGCATATTACCCTCCAGCTATTGTTGAAGTCCAGCTGCCATCATCCCTGAGCACTGGAAAAACTGGCTGCAGCTGAAAGGAATTTGAGTCCTAAACCTCCAGAAGGTACCAGGTTGACAAAGGCTGTTCTAGACCACAGAAACACATCTCGACCCTGCCAATTATTGCTAGTGATGGAGAGTTCGCATTCCCTATGATCACGCATCTGCACTTCAGGAACAATTTCCAAAACAGGCATAATGGATGCATCGCGACGTTATCTCTTTAAACTTTCATGCTATGTTTGATAGGCTATCAAATAATAATAATAAAAAGGATTGCAAGTGAATGATGTCAGCTGGATAATGGCGCACAGACCAACTCTGGAGCTCGGGAAAGAAGTGGGTTGAAATCCCAAACCCCTCAATATTTTATTCAGCAGTTAAATAATAATAAAAAATCCTTTGAATGATTAACTAGAAATACTAAATGAGACATGATTAGGACGGTGCATCAGGCTTGTACAGCTTGTGAGCAATCAAGCAGCCATTCAAGGCCCACCAGCCATGTATTGTTGCCTGCCAGGTGCTTGAGGGCCCACCTGGTTTTGCCGTTCCAGACAGGTAGAACCAGCTGGAGGTTTTTGGGTGCATTTTGTTAACCTTTGATGGGCCAACATGACTGTACTTGGCTCGACGGGCCACCAAATGCTGGGAACTCTACCAGTTGTGGAAGCCACAGGAGAGGAGAGGATTCTTGTGCTTGGGGTCCTCCGAGGTTCCCACAGGCATCTGGTTGGCCAATGTGAGAACAGGATGCTGGACCAGCTGGACTGTTGACCTGATCCAGCAGCTTCTTCTTAAGTTCTTCTGTCAGTTTTTAGAGGACCTTCAATTTTAAGGGCACAGTCATCACAGAAGATTTCTCCACTATGAGCCTCCCTGTAACTCCTGCTTACATTTATAGCCCCTCTAGATGTTTGCCTTCAGTAAGAAAGCAGTGCTTAAGTGAAAGAAACAGAGCAGAGGACAGATTGAATACTTCAAGTATTCAGTGTGGTGGACTCGTAATCTGGTGAACTGGGTTTGCTTCCCCGCTCCTCCACATGCAGCTGCTGGGTGACCTTGGGCTAGTCACACTTCTCTGAAGTCTCTCAGCCTCACTCACCTCACAGAGTGTTTGTTGTGGGGGAGGAAGGGAAAGGAGATTGTGAGCCACTTTGAGACTCCTTAGGGTAGTGATAAAGTAGGATATCAAATCCAAACTCCTCCTCCTCCTCCTCCTCCTCCTCTTCTTCAAGTAGGGACTGCCCAAATTTTTGCTGCTTCTGCTGCCCAAGCTTTGGGTTCTATTCTAACTTTCTTTCTTCTGCAGTTCTGTGTAATGTTTCCTTAATGTGATTTTGGGACACCATAAAATGTATTATTGATCATTATCCTTGACCGAAGAACGGTATACTCCTTCTATCTGGGATGCTCTTCCTCTTCCACCGTATGCGCAACTTCGGAAGGGACGCACATGGAGCAGTGAGCAAGGAAGCCAAATCAACCCTGGGGATCAATGGAGTGGCAGATGTTGCAGCCAAATCGCCCTCACATCCAGCAGATACAGGTAGGTAGTTGTGAGACCAACTAAGTTTGTTCTGGGTATAAGCTTTCATATGCATGAACACTTCTTCATATAACTTATACTTCAGAAAGCTTATACCCAGAACAAACTTAGTTGGTCTCTAAGGTGCTACTGGACAATTTCCCCCCCCAAAAATAATTATATTTTGAATCCATCAGATAATTATCTTATGTTCTTAAATGTGGAATGTAACACATTTGATAAAGAGCATGTACAAAAGTGTGCCTCCTGCTTCCCCCTCCAAATGTTGATCGGGGATTTGTATATTGTTTTGAGCAATTTTGTACATCGTACATTGCATTCAGGAGTTTTGGAGAAAATAACCTATATTTTCTTCTTCTTCAAAAAAATGGCTAGAATCATCTGGACATTATCAGTACATCACTTTGAACCAGGGAAATGGCACATGACATTTATAAGCAAACCTACAGGGAGACATTATATTATAATGCAAGACAACCATACCTCAGATAACTGAAGACTGACATTACATGGACTTTGGGTTTACTCCCAGAGTGCCCAGCCATCTACTTGAATCCCATCTGAACTCATTCATGGATTTGATCCTGCGGCAGTTCTTATGTTGAAAAAGGCCCGCTTTCAACCAAATAATTATGGTGGCGTAAGGATTAGCACTAGCACAATGTGACCCCCTACCCCATCCTCCTGCATGTGCCCCACACCATCCCCGAGTCTGTTCCTGAGGGTTGACAGAACCCATGTAACTGATTTAGGGGACTCATGGGAGAGGAGAGGGAGTGATCTGCTGAAGACTACGTTGAGTCCTGCTCATGCACAATTACTCATGGGTGCCAGTATGCTAAGCAACACTTCAATAATTATCCCTTCAAAAATCCACAATAGGTGAGAGACTACTTGTTCTTTCTGCTCAGTTCCTGCTTGGCCTCCCCTGCATTGAATAACCTCCTTTAAGTATGGCCACATTTCATAGGATGCCAGGATTGGACATAATAAAATAAGAGGAGCCTGCTACACTCAGGTTAGTGCTGCCTTTACATAATCGACTGTACCCCCCTTTCTCTCTCTCTCTCTCTCTCTCTCTCTCTCTGTGTGTGTGTGTGTGTGTGTGTCTTGCTCTCTCTCTCTCTCTCACACACACACAAACAAACACAGCCTCACAAGATGGAGGCTTTTTGTCATATTTATACCTGCCCCCTCAATCCTTTCTAGTTCACCTCTGCTTTAGTGGACGTATGAATGCTACAGAACAGGACGGAACAGTCTTGCTGGGCCTTGGACGGAGCAAAACAATTTTATCTTGCGCCTTAATACTTCTGTCGATACATCCTACTGTGGCATTTGCCCGGCGGCACAAAAGTTACACTACGCGATGGAAGTTCAAGTCTTTTAATGTATTTCTTTCCTCTGTGCCTTTCTGAGAGATGCTAAATTATAGAATAAAGCTGCTAGAGCTTCAGGCAGAAGTAAATTAGGAAAAAGCCAGCAAGCTTCGCTCGCAGGAAAGCCCTGGTCTCATTGGCAGGGAGGGTCTGTATGTGTGGGGAGCTGTTCCTAACATTGCCGAGACGTTCTTTCAAGTTTCCTAATAGTCTTGCATCACCCATAAACAATGGAGAACATTCTGGTGTTATTACTTCTTGAGTTCTGCTCTAATTAGAGACCTTCAGGCTATGATATTATGGCTGGTTGCTTTGGATCAATATGACACATTCAGCCTTTCTTGGTAAACTCCATTCAACTAACAGCATATACCCAGTTTTATTGCTGCTCTAAGTCCTGTGTAAGGGTTTTCCTCATCCCACTTCTGCCTCCTTGGGTCCTGGTCCATGCTGCCTGCCAACCTAGCTCTCTCCTCCTGTGCAACAGACAGGCATGTCTGTTCCTAACCCAAGCATGGGATTTCTACATGCAAAGCTACAACCCTTCCCCTAATGCACAGTGCTGCTCCTCAGAACATTCCTGCCACGTCCATAAGTCTTCATACATCTCAATAATTTCTCAACCTCATTTTTCCTCATCTCAGGCCTGAGCAGGTATGACTTTCCTAGGAAGTCCTGCTTTCGCATCATCTGCATTCCATCAAGGCATCAGAATCAATTGGGTCTCAAAAGTTCCCTGACACAAGTAATGGCTCACTCAATCCACCCAAATGGACTCGATCAATCAATGGTTCAAAAGGCTTAGCTAGACGAATTGGGGATTTGTCAGGCCGAAAGTGTGTGCAACTGTGCGCATGTATCAACGCGAGAAGGGCACTGCAGCCTTCGAGCGCTAATGAGTGCCCAGAGTTGATGTGGAAATCTATATTCAAGAAATGTAATTTCCATCTGGAGAAGGAGGAAATACAAGCTCGAGGTTGTGGGTAATTTATGAGTTCTGAGGTATAAATGCATGTGGCAGCAATGGATTAATTTTGTTCTTCCTTCTGAACTATTGAGGCGCTCAGGCAGAACGCTTCCATCTCTGTAGCATTTGAGACTTTCTTCTCCTTCTTTTGACAATCCCTGCTTGAACAGGTTGGATTTATCCAGCTTTCTGATGAGTAGCATTTTCAAATCTTCCTTATGCAGTTTCAAGTGTTGCCTTCTCTAAACACTCTTTTATTTCTATATTCTATTCTAAGGTACTTTGAACATGGCTGTGAAAGGATGTTATACTGAAAGCACACTTGTGCGTGACTTCTAAACACGAAGGTCATCTGCAATGTTTTGGAGCCTTAATTTGCTTGGAGCCAATTTCCTCTGGCTTGCTTCCCTTGCCTGCAAAGCATTTTCTAGTTCCTGAAAAATATAAACCTTTCCTTTTCATGCAGTTGTATTATTCTGTGTGGTATGAGAATACTTACAGTGGACTTCTGGACCTTACAGCAGGGGTCACCAACATGGTGACCACCAGTCCGTCCTACGATGCCGGCAAAATCCCCTCAAGAAACCAGAATGCATGAGAAAGACTGATAGCTTTCCTGCTCTGTTCCTCATTGCACTGGTTCAGTTGCTTCTTCATTGAATGTCTCCCCTTCAACATGGCCACATTTCATTGGATGCCAGGACTGCACATCCACCCCCAGTTCCTTTCCGCAAATGGAAATGTACAAAGATCTCTCTGAGTTCGCCTGGCAGGGTCTTTCCCAGCATTGATTGAGGGTGGGTGAGTGAATGCTTCGGCTGTTTTGTGGTCCTGTCTCTTTTCCTTTTCCTTCAGATGTGGCAACTGAAATATACTCGGAGTCTAGAGTGGATTTCATGCTCTTTATTCAACTCATAGTGGTGAGGAGGAATGGAAGTTCTCCCAGAATGTCTGCTTTATATACGGTACATTATTTACACAATGGGCCCCACGTGATTGGCTAATTCCAGGATTCACCTGTAGGCCAATCAGGTTGCGAATTCACTTCCACCTGGCGCTGGATTGGGTGGCTCCTGTGGCCCAATCAGACTGCTGCATTCTGGACCCTATTGTTCTAGGACCAATCAGACTGCTGCCTTTTGGATCCTATTCAACTCAGTACATAACAGCAACCATTTTATGTTAATTTAATGCCCTTTACAGCAGCTGTTTTGTGATACTTCCTCAAAATTCCAAATGTGCCCTGCCTAAAAGTGCTTCAAACCCTAAATTGAACCACTGGGGTTCTGCTGGTGGGCACAAGTAATTTGTAATCATGCATAGGAGTTTTCTGAGGGTATGTGGATTCCGTGCCATTTCTGTTTAATTTTATTCATTTTAAGCCTGCTCTTCATCACAATATGATGTAGATATTATTATGTACAATAATGTCTACAATATTGTTTGTCAAATTGCTCTTTGAAGTGTCTCCCCCTCTTGGTTAACCAGCTTGTCTGGGTCTTCTGCCACCCACACTACTTGCTTGCCTGCCTGCCATTCTCTAGTCACACTGGAGTTGTTGTCGCCGCCTACTGATGGCCATATGAACTGCAGCATGATGGCACCTTACATTTTTATGTATATAGGAAGAAATATAGATTACTTGTGTGCCTGTGTTTCCCAGTTTTCTGTTGGATCAATGTCTGTCTCCTCAAGGAGGTTTTGGTGTTGGGATGGATGGTCAGTGTGTGCATTCATGGACATGTTATCTTTCCCTTCCATTTTTGCACGAGGTAATTTTAATTGAACCAGTAGGCACTTCCTTGAACTCACATGGAAGCCACTGTATAGAAAGACAAGTGGAACTTCACAAGTACTTTCTGCTGCAAACTTGCTATAATTTATAACTCATCCAGTGCAATTACAGACTATTTATTCCTTGCCAATGTAATTACGGAAAAATGAAATTTCTGAAAGCGTATTCTTTATTATTCAACAGACTTTTATTGGATTGTTAGAACACAGACTAATGAAATGAAAAGATCACCTTCTTTCATTAATTTTCCTCCCCAGATTCATCTTAGCTAATTTGAAAAAGTTCTGGATTCGCCCAAAGCAAAACGCTGGCACAATATTTCCTCCCTTAAAACATGTTGGATCCCTGGCTCTCTCTTGCTTCTCAGCACTTTGCCATTCTTGAGAAGAAAGATAAGGCTTCTGCATTATGTCTAACGGGGGTGTTGCTATGGGCATAAGCAAATGGGGAGGAATGAGCACCTACAGTTTGAAAAAGTACCTTGAATAAAAGACAAACAGAAGAAAAGGTTCTGAATGTACAAATGGATATGAAGGGGATTTATATTCCCATTCCTCCCACCTACCCACCCCCAGCCGCCCTTTTCAGGCTTTCATACCAGACACAAATGTTTGGCGAGTGCCTAGAAAAGAAATCATAGCTCTTCAGGCAGCTTGGAGCAAAAAAATTCACAAGACTGCAGCAGAAAAAGACTTGGGCTTCCCCCCAAACTGTCACTTAGCAGCAGTCATATCATCAGGTTGCAGAACAGGGAAGAGAAGCAGGCTTATTCTATCAGGTCTACTGAGACACCAGCTGCCCGGACCATTTCCATCCCAGCTGGTCACCAAAGTTGAGAACCGCTACTTTAAGACAGCAGTGGGAAGCTTTCTAGCTCTAGTGACCAGATCTTTATCTGGCCCCACCTCGTAGGTCCACTTAGACAGGCGAGCAGGGCTACCCATGTCTCAGCCAAATATTATGATGATGTTGGAGATGGAAAGGAGCCACATGAAAACCTCTTCCCCCACCTTGAGCAAGGTGCGCTCCTGTGGCCCTTGAGCTGATGGGTGGTTGGAAGCATGCACCATACCAGTGAAGGAACAATATGGAGCTTGCTTGAAATTCTTTCCTGTCCCACACCTGATGCCCTGTATGATGCCAGTTGTAGAGCAGGTGAGCATGTCTTCCCCCAAAATGTCTGGCCCACAGGCCAGAAATTCCTCCCAGTGCCATTTTAAGAGCTGGTGAGTGAACTTTCCTTTTCCTCTGCCCTCCCTAGCCCCATTTCCTTGTGGATTGTAAAACCTCAGGGTAGGGCTTGTCAGACCACAGATTTCTTAAAGCAGCCCCGAGAGCTATTTCAGCTATAGAGCAGGGTAAAAATGCTTTAAGTAGGTAAGCAAATATTGTTGGTACAATCAGGAGGCAGTCACAGTCATGCTTCCTTGGAGACTAATTTCATAGGCAAGCACTAGATAGGTGGGCGACTCGCAGGTGACGACTAACTTGATTGGGTTGTGACAAGACAATCTACAACAAGAATAGGCCACCACCATACATTCAGGGCCATTCTGCTGTCCTGACCCTGCCTGAGAGCTAGAATGATCTAGCTCCCTCACAGGTGGCCAGGTGAGATAGCAGCTTTCAGCATTCAACTGGCACATGCCAGTTTTCGAAACTCCCATTGTTCTAGGGGCATTTTGCTACAGGGAATTTTGTTAGCACGAGCAGTTTCTGAACTCTGGGTGCACTACTGTGCCTAAGATTTCAGATTAAAACTGCAGAGTGGAATACAGAAGCTTTCCTATTAGGAATAACAGACACAGGTATAGCAAAAGAGGATCGGAAAATATTCCTTTATGCCACAGGACCTTAATTGCCAGAAATTGGAAAAAAGAATTAGTGCCAACAAAAAGGGAGTGGCAGGGTAAATTATTAGATTAGACTGAATTGGCCAAATTAACAGAGACAATTGGGGGACAACCTAGACAAGAATTTCAAAAAGAATGGGAGAAATGCAGAGAATACTTTACCAAACAGTGCTCCAAAATATACACCTGGACTTGTTTTGATTAATTTCTACAGGAGATTTTGTGGTTTTATAAGTCACAATTAGGAAAAATTGTAATAATCACATATAAAAGAAACAGCATACAAGAAGTAAATAAGGAGGCCATTTACAGGATAAAGGAAATCTTTTATTTTTATGTTATGTTTTCTTTGTATAAGTGGATAGGAGTTTAATTTTGATATGTTTTAATTGTCAATGGTGGTGTGCTTGTTTTTATGTATGAGTTGTTGTGGATTAATGTTGTAAATAAATTAATAAAAAAAGTAATTATTTTTTTTTAAAAAAAGTGCAGAGTGGAAGGAAAGGAGGACCATTTTCTGCCTCCCCATTTCCTTTTTTGAGGGGGGCTTTTAAAAAAGTTTTTTATTAAAAATTTCAACATAACAAAATATAAAAACATATAATATTCATTATTTTCCCCCACCTCCCCATCAAACCTGCCCTCCCTCCGAGACTTCCCTCAGCTCCTCTGTTTGATTTCTCAACACATATTATTCTCTGCATACTGTAAAATTGTATAAATCCTTTATTACTTGTCTATTGTGTTAACAATCAATAAATTTGTGTATGTTTATTCAAAACCTGCCAAGGAGTCCAATTCATTTTGTTGCCTTTTTAAGTAGTTTGTAAAAAGTTCCCATTCTTCTTTGAAGTCACAGTTGTCCTTATCTCACAGTTTATATGTCAGTTTAGCCAATTCTGCATAGTTCATCAATTTCTCTTGCCACTATTCTTTTGTCGGGGTTTCCTCATTCTTCCACCTGCCTCCCCACTTCCAGCTACTCTCCGAAGACTGAAGAAGAGACCCTCTTAAGAATATTAGGGGGGGTGGGCAGGGGAAGGACTAGACCATGTGAAAAATGAACATAATATTTTAGCTGCAGTTCATTCATTTTCAGCTTTGTATTCTTATTATAAAAAAGCATGCCTAGCGATTCTGTTGTTACGCACATGACCTAGGCGTTTGACAGTGTGTTTTATCATCGAATTGTAGAGTTGGAAGGGACCCTGAGGATCATCTAGTCCAACCCCCTGCAATGCAGGAATATGCAGCTGCCACCATACAGGATCGAACCTGCAACCTTGGCATTATCAGCACCACGCTCTAACCAACTGAGCTATTCAGAAGGCTGTGACTTTAAAATGTTACAATGTTCATATAATCAAACTGGATTGTCGTGTTATATTTTGAAGTGATTTAGTATCTGATTACTACTGGAATTATGTATCGGTTTGCATTTTGATTGTGCTGTTGTGAGCTGCTTTGAGCACATCTACCGTATATGGGATGGTGACATACAAATTTAAATAATAAATAAACAATAGATCATGAAGCTGAGGCTCCAATACTTTGGCCACCTCATGAGAAGCTACCAGCATGAGTTTGACCAAACTGCAGGAGGCAGTGGAAGACAGGAGTGCCTGGCGTGCTCTGGTCCATGGGGTCACGAAGAGTCGGACACGACTAAATGACTAAACAACAACAACAACAACAACATGTCTTTTGCATGTGCACTACTGCTGAGCTATGGCTCTCCTGTCTCTTTTAATTCCCCATAACCAACAAAAAGGGTCTCACCCATATTCTAGGGTTTCTTTTCATGTGTTTGTGTTGGAGGGCAAAGCCTGCCAAAACACATTCCCTGCTAGTTTCTCTCTAAAGTAAACATCAGGTGGGCAGTTGATTACAGAGATGTGTGCATTTAACCTTGTGTAACTTTATTGTGAATATAAATTTATATTTCCTCTTTGCATAATTCTTTACTATTGAAATCTGTAGAAGGAAATGATTAACAACAATCCCTGGGTAAGAAAATATTTGTGGGAGCACAGTGTGTTATTTCCTCTGAATGTGTGCATTTCATTTCCTCAGCTGAGGATGAATTTCCCAGGCTGGCCTTGAGCTAGTCACTAATTCCCAGCTTAACCTACCTCTTGGGATTTTTACGATGATAAACGTGAGAGGGCTCCCTGTATGCTGGTTTGTACTGCTTAGAGGAGCGCAAATCTGATTAAAAATAAACACAAATGGATTTATTTCAACCAGTGATTTATTTGAAAATGAAAGGTGCTAGGTTCAAGCCTGTCCAGAAACAATTAACACAAAAGCTGAGCATGTGGTTACTCTGTTGTTGTGAAGGAAAACAATGGAACACTGCACGTGCTTCTGCCAGTCAGTTAAGGTGATTCCTACACAAAATCCTATTGCTGAAGCCTGAGATGGAAAGAACTGAATATTGGAAAATGGAGTATTTACGGTGAATCGTAGAATCATAAAGGGCCACAAGGGCCGTCTTTTCCACCTCCAGCAGTTCAGGAATCTTTTGCCCAGCGTGGGACTCGAACCCACGACCCCAAGGAAGATCACCTCTTCTCAGTTTGCTTTTCCATCACAGCAGGTGCCAAGCAACCTACAAACCAAATTTGCCCTAAAATGCCAGAAAAACACTCATTTGGGAAGAGGAGGTATGAGTTGTTAAGCATGGAACAATACCTCCTTCTGTCATGCTCCTTCTGGGCTATTTTGTCCATGTTTGGCCCCTGTCCTGTACTCAGCTCTCATTTGTGGTTCCTAGAAGCTGTCAGCATGTGACAGCAGCCACGCACCAGAAAACAGCTAAGATTGGCAAACTAATCCAGATGAGGGTAGCTGATGGGTCTCGAACCTTTGGTGAATTAGGGACTTCCTCTGCATGTGAAGACAGGTTCTGGGTGAGACCAATAGTCCAATAGTCAAGGAGGTGGTTTCTGCTCGTGCTGTAGAGGGAAGCGAGGGGCGTATGGGGGTTATGAATCTGGGAAGGTAGTCCATCTAGGACAGGCATCCCCAAACTCGGCCCTCCAGATGTTTTGGGACTACAACTCCCATTATCCCTAGCTCACAGAACCAGTGTGAGAATTGTAGTCCCAAAACATCTGGAGGGCCAAGTTTGGGGTTTGGGGATGCCTGATCTAGGAGAAGGAAAAATCTGGTACAGTCATACCTCTTCTTACGTCCGCTTCATGTTACGTTCTTTCAGGATACGTCCCACGGTGACCCGAAAGTACCGGAAAGGGTTACTTCCGGGTTTTGTTGCTGACACACAAAATGACGTCATGCACATGTGCAGAAGCAGGGAATCACCACCCACGCAGACGCTGGTTTGCATTCTTCTCATGTTGCGAACAGGGCTCTGGAACGGATCCCATTCGCAACCAGAGGTACCACTGTACTAAACCTTGGCTGCCTTGCGGGATATATTTGGGGGAAGAAAAGGCTAAGGAGTAAACCCTACACAAATCCAGACTGCAGTCCCTAAGACAGTTGTACGCTTCCTTCTGGCAACTCCTGCAGCCAAGCTGATGCCAAACACATTGCTCTGCTTTCCTTTGGACCACATCAGTGAGGCAGTGTGTGTGTGTGTCTTGCCGTCTGAGTAGCCTAGGACCTCCATACACACTGCCCAGGCTTGCGCCCTGGGGAGATCACTTCAGTGCTGCTAATGTGGCGGTTCGACTACACTCCCGGAGGCGCAATCCATTGTTACTTGAGACAGATGGATGCCAGCAACACAACTCACTTTTTAAGGAATTTTCACAAGGTTTCAAACTACAGTGGTACCTCAGGTTACATACGCTTCAGGTTACATACGCTTCAGGTTACAGACTCTGCTAACCCAGAAATAGTGCTTCAGGTTAAGAACTTTGCTTCAGGATGAGAACAGAAATCATGCTCCGGCGGCGTGGCAGCATCAGGAGGCCCCATTAGCTAAAGTGATGCTTCAGGTTAAGAACAGTTTCAGAAGAGACCTCCAGAACGAATTAAGTACTTAACCTGAGGTACCACTGTATTCATTGTGTCACCTTGCTGCTAAAGTCTTCCTTTAGACTTCAGAAGCGAGGTTAGCAGTGTCTCCCCATTGGTTTGCTGCGCATATTAATAGCAAACACAGGTAGGTGGGTTCCTTCCCGCCCTCCTACCCCATCTTTCAATTTCAAGCTCTTTACCAATGATTGCTGCATAAACAAGCCATGAACACACACAGCAATTTTCATATTCAAAATCCACCCACTCAGTTGTTCTCTGTGACTGAGGGAATGGAACTGCATCCTGGGTACATTCACAGGGCTCGAGGAGCAGACATCTGTCCTGCACAAAAGATCCTGCGAGGCAAGTTTTGGTGCACTGAGAAATTATTCCCCGCAAGAAAATACAAAGGCATTTGAGTTGTCAGCTGTGCAGACTGTGTGTTTGTGTGTGTGAGGAGAGGAATTCTGTACTTTTTCTTTCATTAAAAAACAATCTGAACATGAAGCTCTTCTGAAAGAACAAGCCACAGAGCCCTGGAAGGCTGCTACTGCTGCTGTTTCAATGTCATTTTTGCCTAATGAGAGCGAACACAGAACCATCTCTCACCTATTCCTCCCGAACATGCCTCAATGGTACACCCAAAAGAACAAAGAGTAGTTTGCATTTAGATCGGCCCCGGGAAATGTCTCTTGTGTGTTTACTTATTCATATATTTATGAGGCAAGGTTATTGGTGGATGCAAATCAGGGGCTCCAGTTTGCATTTCTCTGTACCCTCAGGGGGAAGCACCATCAGTCTGCTCCTCACATCATGCTGCTTGCTCCTTGAACTTTTCATCACTCTCTCAAGCCCATTTGCTACTTGCCTTGGCTCTAATGAGGCTTTGCAGATCCCAGGAAGCCAGAGCAAAGGGTTGAATGGCATGTTTTCTTGTGACTTACCTACAATTAACATTAACCAACCTAGAGAGAGTGACGGCTTTGGAATTGCTGGGTAAGAAAGGGGATGTGGACCAACTTTCTTCATGCTGAAAGCCTGCAACTTTTAATACCACAGGTGATCTGGTTTATTTTTGTCTCGCTTTTGTTGCACTATAGCAATCATGTAGTGGCGCTGGGGAAGCATCGCAAAATAAACAAAGGCTGCATTCACGTGGCAGTTTATTCCGTTTCCCTGATGTCTCCCTAACCCTTGATTTCAACATTATATTGTTATGAGTTTGGGGGTGTCAGAGAGCAGGATCCAGTAAGGGTTCGAATTTAATCAAGGCTTGGAGTATTAAACTGGGTGCCAGTCACTTTAATCCCTGCATCCAGCAAGTGTTTAAAATCAAGCCAGATTCCTGTGTTCATTTGATCGCCTGAGTGATGGACCATTAAGAGAACAAAGGAAAGGGGGCTCTGTGCCAGATTAAAAATGGGCGAGGCCTCTCCCTCAACTCACAGATAGTGAGAAGAACAAAAGTCAGGGTTTAGGAGTTATATGAGCTAGAAATTGGAAGAAAAGCTGTAGGCTAGAAAGCCTGTGTGTGTGTGTTATGGCTGACTTCTGCTGTAATCCAAGGCCGTGCCTATGGAAGAAGCAAAAGACCCTCTTCAATGCTGTGAAGCCCCCCATTGTAGGCTGTTTGTATATATATGTAAATACACCATGTATCATAAAGACACTACAGTCTCCTTTGTGCCTCATTTCCAAAAGGAAACACAAGCTCTGGGTAAGCGCCTAGAACCTCGCACTGCTTGGAGACTGGAATGACATGCAACAATATGTACAGATCAGAAATGAGGCAATGTGAACACTCCAAATCTTTTGTAGGTACAAACAGCCTTGATAGCAGGATTGTGTGTGACTGCCCCACTAGCATCATGAGCACAAATAATCATGAATGCGCAATAAAAGGGACATCTGGATAGATACCCTGCCATGGGAGCACTGGAGATGGGTTATAGCTAACTAGTGGAACCATCTGGACACTTTGTAGGGAGTAAAGCCCCTTGAAAGTAGTTGGAGTATCTATACACAGTGCTATGCTTCTATGTCTAGAATTCTATTATCTAGACTGAATACGATTCTGTCACATTCGTACATTTATCCCCATCCCCAACAGCCCATTGAACAACAAATAAAAGGTTAAAATTCACTGCCTATACAATTGTGTCAATGCAATGTTAACAACCTCTGGTATTCTGCCATATTGTAGTATAACATGGCAAGAATACTTCAGACTGATGTGGTGAATGCTAAATGTTTAGGAATGAGGCGTTAATTCTGTCATCACCCACTCGAGCTGATGATTTATCAAGATACCACTTTGCAAGCAGAGTCCTTCCGGTTCCTGCTTTAAATAACTATTGCTAATTTCCTCTCCACCATATGAACTGCTGTGTTAAACATATGGTTTCCTTTCAACTTGTAGAGTTTTCAAAATCACGGTTATGTTAATGACATAGCATCATCGTTTGTGATGTTGGTTTCCTCGGGCCATTTGAGGGCTAATCTGTCAGTACAAAGTGTGCTCTTTACCAAACATTTTTGCCTTTGCAGGCTGATTAAAACTTTGCAGGCTGATTAAAAGTACAGTGGTGTGACTGTTTAACACTTATGCCATAAGGTGTTACCTAAAATGTCAGGCTTGGGAGGGCAAGAGAGTCTTATGGCACTTTCCAAACAGCCAGAATAATGCAGAGGAACAAAGCAATGAGCACATCCCAAGCATCGCTTCTGATGCCAGCCAAGGTGGAAGGTGCATGTGGCATTGTTGTTTTTCTTTTGTTTTTGGCTGCAGCACCTCCAGATCCAAAGCTCCCAGTGTCCAAAACCAAATTGCTCCATTTCAGAGTTTTCCCGGAGCCCAGTGTATAGATGCTAGGAGAGGATATATATTTTGTATGTTTTAAAGAATGGCTGCAAATTTTGTTGGATTTTTATTGTTTTATCTTTTTTTTTGTAAACTGCTTTGAGGCTTCTTTTTACAATCAAGACGCATAAAAAAAAATATGTTTTTTAATGAAACAGATTAAACAAAGCAAAACTATTAAGTGTGAGTTTTTAAATTATGAACTGGAAACAATCCCTTTTTTAAAAGCTAAGTTTCCAAGCATTGGCTATTTTGTTGTTGTTGTTGCTCTGCCTCTCTCCTCTTCAGCCTACCATCCTCTCGCCCATCACCTTCCTCCAGCTATTGACCGTCTTTCTCTTTGATGCAGGAGCATCAAAGGCTTCTCTCCCTAACAACGGTTGCTCGGCGACTGTCCTACACGTGACGCTCCTCCCTCCCGTGGATTGGTCGATTTCGGGCTCTTGGCTTTCTTTTTTAAAACAAAAACCAACAACCAACGAACAATACAGACTTCCTTTTTTTTAACGTTAGACTCACACTTCCACTTCAGCTTCCGGGTTGATTTTAGCTTCAATTTTTGGTACTCTCCAAAAGGCAGGCACGGCTAAAAGCTGGGCTAGAATGATCCCGCAGGGCTCTTGTGTTATGTATACAGTAACCTGTTCCCTTGATTCAGCAGTTTCGTTTTATGTTCTTAGGAGGGATGTGGATCCCATCATGATATACAGAAATATGAAGAAGACTGCATGATTGCCATGTATTTTTTGGTAGAGTCTTAAGTATATTCTTATGCTCCTAGGAAGCAATGGAAGAGACCAGCATTTTAGCATAGATGCACAATTGAGCATCAGCACATCCACACTAAAGCAAAAGGAGAAAGAACGGGGACTCCAGCTCCCATCTGCTGCAAGCATGGCCAATGGTCTGGGATGATGGGATTTGGAGTCCAGTAACATCTGGAAGGCCACAGTTTCCCTATTACTCCAGTAAATATAGGAATTTTGCTATTTTTACACCAGGTCTTAAGGTGAAAACTTAAAAAGAAAAACACCAATCAGCATTTACTGCTTTGAGATGACATCTGAATTTATTACGGATTTATTTTATTGACTCAGAACTGCCTGCCAGTTGGGGCTCGCTTTCAGGAAATTGTGCAGAATATTCCCGCCTGGAATACTTATAGTTTGCCTTTCGAGTTCTGCTGCTCAGGTGGCGGGTTTCTTCCACTCTCACTCTTTTCCCAGGAGAGGAAAGGGTGCGTGGATGGGGAAACTACAAAAAATGAACCAGGAAGTTTCGTCTCCGGATAACTGCAATGCGGCTCTACAACTTTCCCATCTCTTTGGCAGTGAAGACCAAAAAGTACACCGAGGTAGCCTTTGAGGTTGTCTATCTTACTGCCCGATTAGAAAGCGACTTCCTTCCGAAGCCGGCCAAACGAAACCACAGCGCGAAAATAGTAAAATACCTACTCCAAGGCGGGATCGCCTTAGGGTCTTCAATGGCGCTTAAACTGCGCTCGCGCTGTCGTCGTTCGGACCGACTTCCTCAGGCACTCGCCCAGGACACCCTTCTCGGGGAAGAGGTCCAAGAACGACCCGGTCGCACAGGAGGTCCTTTCTCGCCCACACCTTCCTCTTGGCGGGCAGCACTGCGGGCAGCTGCCGGCTCGTAAGGCTGGGGAAGCGGAGCTGCGCGCGTGGCGGAGCGAGGCAGCCGTCCCCGGGCGCCGGGATGTATTACAAGTTCAGCGGCTTCACGCAGAGGCTGGTGGGGGCCGGCGCTTCCGCCGCCTACGCCCCGCAGGTAACGGAGGCAGCCGCGCTCTCGGGCCGCCGGGAGCTTGACCTTCACAGCTGCGCTTCACGTAGAGGAGAGACTTCCCTACGGGGCCCCACGAGGTCCAGTTCTCGCAATGACCTAAAGCGAGACCTCTCTCTAACCCTCCACAGTGGGGAAGCCCAGCCAGATGGGCGGGGTATAAATAATAAATTATTATTATTATTATTATTATTATTACTATTATTCATTGAGGAGCGGGGAAGGCGGAATGGAGAAGCGAGCTTCATGTATTCCACGTGCTTCTGTGGCTGCCCACCAGGTGTTCCCTGGGCGGCTTGCAAGGAAGCGTTGCAGCAGAGAATATTTGAAATATAATATGGTTGGTGTCAAAAATAAATAAATAAATAAATAAATAAATAATTTATTTATACCCTGCCCATTGGCTGGGTCTCCCCAGCCAGTCTGGCGGCTTCCAATAGAATATTAAAATACAATAGTCAGTTAAACATTAAAAGCTTCCCTAAACAGGGCTGCCTTCAGATGTCTTCTAAAAGTCTGGTAGTTGTTTTTCTCTTTGACATCTGGTGGGAGGGAGTTCCACAGGGCAGGTGCCACTACTGAGAAGGCCCTCTGCCTGGTTCCCTGTAACCTCCCTTCTTGCAGTGAGGGAACTGCCAGAAGGCCCTCGGCGCTGGACCTCAGTGTCTGGGCAGAACAATGGGGGTGGATATGCTCTGTCAGGTATACTGGACTGAGGCCGTTTAGGGCTTTAAAGGTCAGCACCAACTCTTTGACTTGTGCTCGGAAATGTACTGGGAGCCAGTGTAGGTCTTTCAAGGCTGGTCTCGGCGGCTGCTTCCAGTCACTAGTCTAGCTGCCACATTCTGGATTAGTTGTACTTTCCGGGTCACCTTCAAAGGTAGCCTCACATAGAGCGCATTGCAGCAGTCCAAGCGAGAGATAACTAAAGCATGCACCACTCTGGCGAGACAGTCTGCAGACAGATAGGGTCTCAGCCTGCATACCAGATGGAGCTGGTAAACAGCTGCCCTGGACGCAGAATTGACCTGCACCTCCATGGACAGCTGTGAGTCCAGAATGACTCCCAGGCTATGCACCTGGTCCTTCAGGGGCACAGTTACCCCATTCAGGACCAGGGAGTCCTCCACACCTGCCCGCCTCCTGTCCCCCCAAAACAGTACTTCTGTCTTGTCAGGATTCAGCCTCAATCTGCTAGCTGCCATCCATCCTCCATCCGCCTCCAGACACTCACACAGGACCTTCACCGCCTTCACTGGTTCTGATTTGAAAGATAATTTATTGAATTTCTATACTGCCCTATACCTGGGGGTCTCAGGGTGGTTCATAGAATAAAATCAAGATATAAAACCACAAAATACCTAATAAAAATAAAAACAGCAACCCAATACCCCCCCCAAAAGCCACACACATTTTAAAAGGGCATAGGTTGTATATCAGATCAACCAAATGCCTGGTTAAAGAGGAACATTTTTGCCTGGCGCCTACAGGTGCATAATGAAGGTGCCAGGCAAACTTCCCTTGGGAGAGTATTTGAAATATAGTAGTAGTTGGCAATAAGCGTAGCAGAGTATTTATAATAGTTGCTGCTAATAAGCGTTGCAGCAGAGTATTTGAAATATAATAGTAGTTGTCAATAAGCGTTGCAGCAGAGTATTTGAAATACAATAGTTGTTGTCAATAAGCGTTGCGGCAGAGAGTATTTGAAATATAGATGTCGTCAATAAGCGTCACAGCAGAGTATTTGAAATATGTATAATAGCTGTTGTCAATAAGCGTTGTAGCAGAGTATTTGAAATATAATAGTTGTTGTTCTTTGTACCCTGCCCATGTGACTGGGTTGCCCCAGCCACCCTGCGCGGCTTCCGAGATACATAAAATCATAATAAAACATTACACATTAAAAGGCTTCCCTGTACAGAGAATGCAGTATATGGTAAATGAAACGAACAGTGAGCAATAAAAATCGGGAGAAATTATTTGGGGCAGGGGGCATGACCCATTGCAACAAAAGCAGAGGTTGCATCCGCACCACACCTTTGGAAGCACGTTTGCACCACCTGGACAGCTCTGAATAATTGTAGAAGCTGTAGTTTACTCTCCACAGAGCTGCAGTTCCCAGCACCCTTTAGTGAACTACGGGAGGCTTTTAAGCAGAGGTTGGATGGCTGCCTGTCGTGGGGGCTGTTGTTGAGATTCATGCATTACAGGAAGTTGGATTATATGACCTTGGGGTCTCTTCCAACTCTACTGTTCTATGATTCTATAGTATTTCCCAGGATTCTTGGGAGGAAGTCAAGTACAGTACAGTACTTTAAATGCAAGGGGCAGGGAGGTTGGGGAATGCATCAAGCAATTTATAGCCTCGATTTAAATTGCAGTGTCCACTGATGTTTGTCTGGGCTGTTTTTGACCTAGACAGCCTTTTATGGCCTGGGTCCTGGATTCCTAAGGAACCTGCTCTACTTGCTGCAGTCACACAATCAGGCTCTTCTCTGCCTACCCTCACAGGGAGAGGCTGGAAGAATGACAGGGGGACACGTGGCTCTTTCTTGGGTGGTTCCTCTGCTTTGGAACAACCTGTCTTTAGATATGAGAAGCCACTTACCTCTGCTGTTTCCCCCTAAAGGCTGATGCACTAGTCGATTCAGCAGGCATTTTTATTTGTCTTTTGTCCACTTTTCTAATAATTGATTTATTAAGAGAGTGTGGCTGTCCCAAAGTCACTCGCTAAGCTTCATAGTTTGCTGGAGATTTGAGCCATGATCTCTCCACATGCTGTCTGGGGCTGATGAGAGTTGGAATGTAAGAGCCCTGCTGGATCAAGCTGAAGGCCCATCTACTCCATCATGCTGTTCTTGCATTGTCCTGCCAGATGCCCAGGGAAAGCCTGCAAGCAGGACCTGAGTGCAATTGATTTAACTTGCTTTTTGTTTTACAACTTTATCTTTTAAAATAAAATGGGGCTCACTACTTCATACATTTAGAAAACATGTTGCAGAGCGCTGTTATTTAATGCCTGTGTCTCAGAAGCCTGAGTAGCTTCAACTAATAGTATGGCATTTAGTGTTGGCATTTCAGGCATCTCCTGGGTCTTTTTTATGCCGACAGGCCTGTTCCGCTGTTCAAACTTATTAGATGAGCCAGTCGTTTTTATGATTTTTTTTGGTGTTCCTTTTATGATGTTTTATGTGTTGACAACACAATTTATTCATTCTTTTGTATGGGGGCAGCCTGTAAATACTTTAACCCATCAATTAATTAATGCAGCCTGAAATATTTTAGACGAATAGTTCATATTACAAAGTGACATTCAGCCCCCTTGATTGCCTAGACTACAGTACACTAACCTCTATACAGCTCCCTTTCTCTCTTCTCCTTGTTATCAGTCCGCGTGCCTCTGTTACCCTTTCTCCTTTCTTTCCTTTCCACCGACAGCGATTGTGCTCCTCTTACATTAAATATCTTGTTTCTCGGGTATCCCAGCCTTCTAGTTACCCTTATCTCCTGGACTCACTTCCTACTTGTCCTCTTTCTTGCCGTATATCCTCTGCACTCTCCCTACCTATTGCTGCCAACACAGCACATCCCTTTTGCTAAGCCATGGGTTTTCTCCCATCCAAAATGGCTGCTAACTTCCCTTGTGGAAAAACCATTATTCATCAATGTTCTGTTCCTCTTCACCAAACAGAATATTTATGGTCATTCCTTGATACCGTGGCATATTTCAAAATGGCCAGATGGGGATCACACTGTGTGCATATCGGAAAGATACCTCTCAGCTGTAGCTTAGGATAGGCTATATTTCTCAATACAGTTTTTTTGTATTTTATGAATACATTCACAGATATGCAGAATAGCAGTGGGGTCTGTCTTTGGATAGATTTCTGATGCATTCCATAGAGCTGAGTGAGTTCCCTACTGCATGTTTTTTAAAAGCAAATATAAATAGTTTTACATGAAGTTAACCTGACAAGTGAACATTATTTTCCAAAAATGTATGTGATTGGCAGACAGCTTGATAGATGAACAAACAAAAACTAATTAGTAGACATTCATTTCAATCATGTATTTATTAGCCTTGTTAAAATGCAAATTTAATGTCAAGCATATTGTGTTCACACTCACTGTCTGGAATAATAAAGTAGGGAATCTGTATGTAGGTAATTGTTGGCTGTGCTGCACAGCCTTTTTTACTTGAGTGTAGCTCTGTTAAATGCCTGCATGTAAGAAGTAAAGCATTCCAGAATTAGCTGCATTTTGGTTCTTCATCAGCAATGCTTGAATGCCTAAATGAACAAACACTGCATTGTGAAGGTGGCACGCTCATCTCTTAATTGACTTTCTTTTTAAACGAATGTTCACGAATGCATTCAAAACTCAGGGGGAAGAAAGACTAAATGAATGACTTGTTATGAATGTAACTCCTATTCCTGTTGGTATTGAGGGGTCAGCTCCCACATCTGTTCAGCTGACTAGACTGAGGCTGCAATCCTATACACTCACAACCTGAAACTAAGCCTGATTGAACAATGGCTCTTATCCATGGTGGCTCCATTGTTAGAGGCAGTATGCCTCTAAATACCAGTTGCAAGGAATCACAAGAGGGGACAATACTGCTGCACTTAGGTCTTGTTTGTGGACTTCCCGGTTAGTATCTAGTTGGCTCCCCATGGGAACAGGATGCTAGACTAGGTGAGCCACTTGCCTGATCCAGCAGGGCTCATCTTATGTTATTCCTTATGTTCTAACATAGTGGGACTGACTTGCAAGGGGTTATACTGGAAAGACCAGGGAAGGACAGTGGGACAAGAGTAGCATTCAGCCACCCTCCAGCTTTGCAGTGTTCCCTACTGTGAAGCTACCCAACTTTTGCTCTTCCTCACTTGTTGCTGCCTCGTTTCTTCTTGTTGTAAGAACCCAGAAGATGTGTACAGAAGCAGTAAGCAATGGCTGTTTGCCCTTCCCTATTCATGGACATTGGTAGACACCATGAGGAAGGCTGGCCTGAGGTCTTCGTGTTGGAATGTTGTTTTGAGAAAGCAATACATCTCCAATAGCATATATTTTTTGCCATTAATTTGAGAGTAGTTTGTTGTTTTTTCAAGTGAATTAAAATAGTTATGAATTTCCAGAGCCCATTCCTAGCCAGAGGCCTGCTTCCCAAAGAAGATGATTTGGGTCATTTACCAAATTTTATTTCATTTATACACTACTCTTTCTGGAAAAAGCTCTGGGCAGCATGCATTGCTTCACCCAACTCCATCTGACAACAGCCCTCTGAGTTAGGTTATTTATTTATTTTTAATTTGGTTTTACAAATGTAAATTAGTTACAATACCAAATACATATCCATAGAATGAGATAACTCTGAATCCCGAGACTTCCCCCATGGGTCCTATTGTTAATGTTTCCGACTGCATATCATTTCATAATTATGGTTTGTATCTATCCATATTGTCCGTAGTATTTGTTACATTACAAGTAGGATTAAAATCCTGCTAATGTTTTCATCTGCTCACAGTGGTCTCCTAAATAAATTATAAACTTTCCCCATTCTTTTTTGAATTTCTTTTCTTCTTGGTCTCTGAGTTTAGCCATTTCAGCATAGTCTAAGAGCTTGATTTGTCATTTCTCTCTGGTAGCGATTACCTCTGAGCTAGGTTATGGCAGGAGAGAGTGTGGCTGTCCCAAAGTCACTCGCTAAGCTTCATGGTTTGCTGGAGATTTGAGCCATCATCTCTCCACATGCTGTCTGGGGCTGATGAGAGTTGGAATGTAAGAGCCCTGCTGGATCAAGCTGAAGGCCCATCTACTCCATTATGCTGTTCTTGCATTGTCCTGCCAGATGCCCAGGGAAAGCCTGCAAGCAGGACCTGAGCGCAATAGCACTCTCCCTTACTTGTGATTCCAGTAACTGATATTCAGAGGCACATTGCCTCCTAACAGTGGAGGGAGAACATAGCCCCCATGGCTAGTAGAGAGCACCTCATTGGCTACCCTTGGTTGAGAAACATTTGCTTCTGCATCTGGAAGAGGCAGACTTTGCCAGTCTAATTTTGTTTTCTCGCTGCTTTGGGTTGGCTTCTTGACAGATTCTTTTCAATACGTGCTGGTGACTTCATTTGGAAAATTTTAAGAAAAGACTTGATTCAGCTTCTATTGTGAAGCAGAAAGGGCAATTTATTGATTTAAAACATTTATAACTTGCCTTTTCAATGCGTGAAGATGCTTCTAACAAAGCGTCCACTAATGCAATAGCAATAAAACCAAAGTCCCATAAAGTCACTAAATTGTGCATCCTATGGCGGTAGTATTTTACAAGCAGAAATGCCCACTTAAACGTCTTGCAGCAGAGGAAGGTTTTGCCTCTTCCCTGGATTGCTGCAAAACATTAGAGCTGCAGACCATTTTGTGACAGTTCTTCCACAACTGTGGGGCAGTCTCCTATCCCACGTATCCTCCCCTCATGTGATATGGGGCACACAGTTGACTACCCCCACTCTGCAGAATATAAACAGGGAAGCTTGTGTGGGAAAGGCTGTCTCTGAGCTATATGGGTTCCTACCAGACCTTGGAAGAGATGCTTAAAGGTAAAATCCAGCACTTGGTCCCAGAAATAAATTGGCCACCATTGTAATGGTTGTAAAATGGAATATATTTCTGAAATACACAGGTCCATGCTGCAACAGCCTACAGTTAATGCAGTTCAAAAGAATTATCAAGGGAGGGAGGGAAGGATGGAACAGGCAAATTCAGGTTCTTACCATTTAATTCTGAGGGCAGAGACGTCAGTGGTACTTGAACCCAACTGAGCTGATGGAGGAGATTTTGTTTTCTCCCCTTTCCCTTGATAGCAGGCACATGACTTGCCATTTGCAGGCAAACTTCCAGACTGTAGATATGCACTTGACCGTAATTCTCTAAATGTCTCTTCTTGCATTTAACATGGATGGTCCTGTGGAGTACAGTGTTCAAGGTTAAGCCAGAGATGCTCTTGCTTTGTAGTCTCTTACTTTCTGGTCACTTGTTTATATAGCTGATAATGTATCTGATAACTGTGCTCACTGCAAACAAAGTTTTAATCGTCTCATTTTATGCAGGGATTCAAGCCAGTTGTATCTACAGAATCGCCAAGTCTAATATTTGCAACACCAACTAAAATTGCCTCAGAAGGACCGTCCACCATCGAGTATCTTGGTAAAAACCGGGTACCGGAGCTGCAGAAGTTTTTTCAGGTGGGAAGAAACAATATTCAATCAATAATCTTAGTTGAATTTGTGTCTGATCGCTGGGGATGCTGAATGCTTGAGGCTTGCAGAAGTGTTGATAAAATGCTGCTAATATCTTTGTTTCTATGTTTACATTAGAGGTCAACAGTATTTTAAAAAGAACTTGAAACAAATTTTACAGCAGGCTAAATGTAAGTTCAGCGCTAGGTGCACTCTGCTTGATTTTTGCCTCCTCCTCACCTCTCTCTCTCCCTCTCCTGTTCTCTTTCCCCCTGCCCAATCTTCAACCATGCTTTATCTGAAAATTATCCTGTTTGTCCTTTGCTTGATTATTCTTACAAGGTTGAAGCTTTCAATGAAATGTGTAATAAATATAGGGGTTGCTCGTGCGTAAGTTGCCGCCACTCCTGGCTAGGTTGCCTTGTTAAACCTTTTCTGTCTGGACAGCCCTTCACTTCGTGGCTGTTTCAGTCGCTAGCAGAATCCGTCAGTGGGCGTTTCTTAAACCTTTTCCAGCATAAAAGCTGTTTGACGCCAAGTCTCCTCCTACTCTCCCTGCGCGGAAGTCTTCTGCGCAGGGAGGGTGTGGGTAGCGGAGGGCCCGTACTCTCCCCGCTGGTCTCCAGCGAGGAGTCCTGGAGCCCCCTCGCCGATTCCCCCATCTCCCTGGTGTTACGCTGATTTCCTTCCCCAGCTGATGAGCTGCCTCTCTCCCTGCTGGGCCCTTTTCCAGCATCGCTTGGGAGCCTTGTCTCCACCTCTAGCTCCGATGTCAGTTCCCTGACAAAATGGAAGGTCTTTGGCAGAGACAAAGACCAAGTGTGGGATTCAACTAATGATTTCTGTCCGTGGAAGCCCTGAGTGAGGGCTTCCGCTTGTGTATTGGGGCTTTGGCTTCTTCTCTTCTCCTTTGCATGCCTCCCCCCAAAAACTGGCTTGGGAGAGACCCCAGAACAGCATATGGGAGGAGGAGAGTGGAGATCGTTCTATCCCGCAGGCCAAAATGCTTGCTGCGACAGAACAGCCACCTTGGTGCAACGTTGAATTACTCTCTGAGAGGACAAAGACTGGAACCTGGGAAAAGACATGGATATCTGAAGGGGGCACACAGGCTTGTACACAAGTAGTAATAACTGTGGAGAATATGGAGAAAAGGAGCTGTTGAGAACATTTAAGAATCATCCCCCAAAACTTGGCAGACCATTTTTTGCTTTTGAGTCCTCTCTTGGCAATGTCAGTATGTTGCTGCACAATATATTTCTCTCTGCACTACTCATGCATCTATGGTAGCAGTTCTCAAAATTCTGGACCAAATTCCAGTTTCTACTTTTAAGAAAGAGCACTGTACATGCAGAGTTCTGCTTGCAAGTTACGTGTTCCACTTCTACAACAGCAGCATTTTGGACAACATCTGCTGATACGAATAAACTCAGCACTAATCTTTTTTTGCTTCTTCAGTCTGTTGCAGATGTTTGCCATATTCAGGTCAGTCTTGCCCATGGGCAGTTACATAGTCAGGTTAAAACCCAACAGTTAAACATTGCTATTAACGTTATGCAACTACTAATAAATGCAGTGGGTTTAGCAGTAGAGATCAGTGTAAACCACTGGAGCACCTTGCATGGAATATGCAAAACTCCCTTGTTCTGATAGAATAACAGATCTTTAAGAAGCTCACTTTTTCTCGCATTCTGTTTTTATTTGGAAAACACTCCCGCTCTTAATTGGTGTTATTTCCTTTTCCCTTGAAACCTCACGACTTGCAAGTTAGTAATGCTTTTCCAGGAAGCATCTTGTGTGATTAGCCACTTAAAGGAATACTCTGCCGTATTCTTTTATACTGTGTGTAAGTGAATAGTGCAGATGTGATGTGGGAGTCATGTAACGATCCTCATCAGTGCAAGCCCTGTGTGCGGGCTTCTGTTTGTGCCATGTGGCTTTTCTTTTCCCCATCTCCTCCCTCTGTGTGCCCCCAAAATTGGCTCTAGGTGGAGGTTGGGAGAATCCCTAGAACAATCCTTCGGGAGAGGGGGATCGTTCCATCTGGCAATCTGATATGTCTGCTCAGATGGAATGTTTGTAGTAGCGTGACATTGAGTCCCTCCCTTAGTTTCCCTTTCCCCTCCCATAAAGTCTGGATGTGGTGAACTTCCTTGTGATTTCACAACGCTGTGCTCCCTGATAGGCTACCAATGACAGGAAACATGAAATGTCACAGTGTCAGAAACCTAAGAAGTTGCCATTTAACAACTCAGACTCTGTGTCCGTCTGTTCCAGCATCACCTTCTGCAGTGGGCAGAGGCTTTCCAGGGTTTCAGACAGAGGTTTTTCCCACCATCCGTTACTTGATCCTTTTGGCTAGAAGTGCCAGTTACTGAACCTGGAGTTTCCTGCTTGCAGCTGTTTGCTCTGTGGCTGAGCTGTGGCCCCTCTCTGATGTCAAGACAGGAGGGCCAAGTGTTAGGAAAGGAGAGGGAGGATCTACATGTGTAGCTGCTTAAATACTGAGCACAGCCCATAGAAGTCAGATCTGTTTCCCTCCACTTGCCATTCATGCCACCACTGAGCTGCATGTACCTGGCCTGTGACACAGGCTAATATATGTAGTTAACATGCATGGACCTCTGCTAAAGGTTCCCAGGGCTTTAGAAGTTAGCGTGGGCTGTGTTGTGGGTGTGTTCTGCCCTTAAACTGGATGGAGTTTGGTGGGCTACACTTAATTATTGAGAACTTGTATAAATAATGCAAATGTGCATATTTGCTTTGAGTAATCTCTCATTGCTGTCATAAGAAAGGTCAGGAACTTACGCAGGTCACCGAAGCCATAGTCTGTGCTCTCTGCTAGCTGCTATCTTGGTTTAGCTTTCATTCACATTTTGTACAAATAGACTTTAGCTTGGGGGATGGTAATGTACATGCTTTTATTAATTCTTATGTATATATTTTATTGATAACAGAAGCCCGATGGTTTGCCAGTGCACCTGAAACGGGGCCTTCCTGATCAGCTTCTTTACCGGACCACGATGGCACTAACAATAGGAGGGACCATCTACTGTCTGATAGCGCTCTACATGGCAGCCAACCCAAAAAAGATGAAATGAATGATCCCTGATTAATAGAGACTAATGACTATCCACTGGAAGGAAGACTTGCACTTAACCTTCTGCCGTTACACTTCAATCATGTGATTGTATGTTGCAAATTCTAGAGATTTGATTTGGGGTTTAAGAAAAGTTCGGGAAATGGTGACCTTCTAACGTTTAGGAGAAGAAGAGCAAAATTAATACCAGAAGTTGAGAAGAAAGCCATTATCTCCTGTGTAGTTTTGCAGATTAGTCTTCACACCCTTGGCTTGAAAATAAGAGGGGTCATGCAGCTGGCATTCCTGACAGTAGGGCAGGCTAAGTTGACAGTGCAAACTAGAAATGAAGTTGTTACGTTGATTGATGACCTCGTTTTAGGGACAAGGGCATTTGGGAATCTTGTTGAAAGTGCATTTGACTTGCAGAAGAAAAGATTATGGACTGAACTACTAGGCTGATTCAAAATGGCAACCTGAAATGATTTGGCTTGATAATTCTCACTGGAATCTACCATTTAGGCCCCTTCTCAAATTATGTTACGAGCCTGACTGTGATTTCTGTGGAGTTGTTTCAGCAGGGCTATGTTGTTTTGATTAGCTCCTGACATTTTCTTCTGATGATCTGTAAACTTCATTCCATTTCTGTGAGCTGTCTCTTGGAAGCGGAGCGTTGCGTTCAAAGACAGGTTCTGTGTAGAAACACTTGACTCCACCATGGTTCCCCCCCTCCCACTCCCCCATCTCTAAAATAAAATTCTATTTGTTTTAACCTTGGAATAAACACAGCAGTACAAATGCTGCACTTCTATCTGATGTGTCTGTTTTATGGGTAATATGGAATAAGATTTACTGTTGTTTTTTGTTTCAGCAGTGGTACAAAACCAGTGAACTACTTTGAACATAACAAACACAAATTTATGACTGAGCAAAGCGCACCTATCTTCTGGATTAAAATTGGACACACTCCACTCTCTTATACCCCCAAGAGTTTTGTTTTTGAACTAGCTTCTCTGGGTCCAGCTTCACTTGGGTTTCTGCAAATGGCACCGATTGGAAGGAGGCAAGGTTACCTCTATGGAAAGTGACGGGAGAGATTAATTGTACAGCATAATGCTGGGTAATTCTTTGGCACTGAGTAGTTCTGTGAACATTTTGCCTCAACAGTAGTATGATCATACAAAATGAGGTTGGAGATGTACAAATGAATATGCCTTATATGGACTCGGATCACTGATCCTTCCAATCCAGTACTGCCTGCTTTGATTGGTTGCAGATATCCATGGTCTTTCCTGTTCCTGTTACCTAGATATGAGACAATGAGGTTTTAATCTGGTACCTCATCTAATGTACAAAAGTCTCAGACCCACCTACCACTTTGTGCTCACAGGAGCCCTTTAGTTAGCTTTGAAATTTATTTCTGTAGCATGATTGCAGTATGATATGAGCACAATTCAAAGTGTTGGTGCTGACCTTTAAAGCCCTAAACGGCCTTGGTCCAGTATATGTCTCCCCCCCGCATCGTTCTACCCAGACACTGAGGTCCAGCGCTGAGGGCCTTCTGGCAGTTCCCTCACTGCGAGAAGCCAAGTTACAGAGAACCAGGCAGAGGGCCTTCTTGGTAGTGGCACCCGCCCTGTGGAACTCCCTCCCACCAGATGTCAAAGAGAAAAACAACTACCAGACTTTTAGAAGACATCTGAAGGCAGCCCTGTTTAGGGAAGCTTTTAATGTTTGATGCATTACTGTAATTTAATATTTTGTTGGAAGCAGCCCAGATGGGGAGGGTATAAATAATAATAATTATTATTATTATTATTATTATTATTATTATTATTATTGATGTCCCCCCCCCCAGCACAACACCATCTTCCCAAAAACTGGTTAAAGGAGATGCTGGGTTTGGAGAAGAAGGCATGAGACTCTGGCAGGGTCCCAGGCTCCTCCCGTCTCCTTCCCAAAGTTGAACAAGTGCTAACTAGGCTTTGGGGAGGAGGAGGAGGAGGAGGACTCTAGGATCCTGTCAGAGCCCTCCCGCCTTCTTCCCAAAGCCCAGCGCTTCCTCTATATAATCGTAATATCCAGTTTATTAAGATTGGCATGACTTATCGTCCTATGTGTAGTAGTTTCCTAGGAGGAAGGCCTGTTGAATTCCCTAGCTGCATAGGATCAGCTTCCAAAATACATAGAGCTCTGCAAATGATCAGGTGCACAAGAAGCTGTAACACTGGCGGAAAGGGGGAGGGCATGGATGCAACCCAACCCCCAACTATTTTTGTAATAGCAGCTATTGGCAGTGCTCTCCCAGGACTTCCCCACCTCATCTACGTAATACAACTGTGTAAGGCAGGGAGCATTTTGGAGACAACAGAGGCAAGGGATGGAGAAACAACTACACTTGCTCATGACTAGTGCCTTGATGCAGTATTTACTGTGCTTCACCAGTGCAGTAAGTAGACTATATAATTTGAAAGGCTAAAAAACTGATAACCTTAACAGCAACCCTCCACATTTGAACTCCCGAATTCTATTTTGTCCTACAGTTGCATGCTGGTTTTAAATATTTTAAAGCTCGCTCTGGCATCAATTAATTTCCACATTTAGTGCCAATGCCCCAGTTGTGTGCTCTGTTGGGAAGCTGAACATTTAGTTTAACAGGGAGATGGTACTTCCTTAAAGGAAATTACTGCTCCACAATGTCATGATAGTAAAATGTTGTTAAGTATTCATGAGATCTGTTGCTCTGTGTTTTCTTTGACTCATACCTGCTTATTGCAGCAGTTAGAAATGTATTGATGCTACTTTTTCTTTCCTGCAAAGAAAGTTGAAGCAGAGTGACCCAGGTGCTAATTCTTTACTGCTGTACCATAAAGATTTAGTAAGAATATGTAGTCAAAGATTAGTTCAAAGTAGTATGTAAAAATAAAACCCTACTACCCTGGAATTTTCTAACGATGGTGCTCAGAGCAGTTTGCATTATTTAAAAACATCAAACACACACACACACACACACACACACACACAACCAGCCAAGTAATAAACAATAGCAGAAGATTAAAGCCAGCTAAATCATGGCTAGTCAATGTGGACAATGTCTTCAGAATCTGGATTCAGCCCCAGCCAGGATGACGCTTGGTCAGGGATGATGGGAGCCCAAAAACACCTGGAAGGCACCACATTGGCTACCCCTAAACTAAACTATCAGGGTCTATCATTAAAACCAAACTATGCAATCTGAAACTTAACTAGCTGATGATCATGAAAATGATGATGATGGTGATGAATAAACTAATAATAAATTTAGCAGTGAAGGATAAGTAATGAGGGAGTTAAATGGGCCTCCTCTGGAAGTTCTCCAGTATGGGTCATGCTACCAAGAAGCTTATCTCATATGTCTCAATTGAGCTTCTGCCATAGTCAAAACACATAGATCTTAGGGAGTGGACATGGTGACATAGGAGGCCATGGTCCTTTAGGTAGCCTGGGCCCAAGTCTCCGTTTTGGAATGCTCAAAGCCTGTTCACATTATCTCAGTAGGCCTCCCCAGGACTCATGCCTATTTCCCCAGGTGGGGTGGCCAAGCCTGAGAGACCAGGAACTGAATCAAGGGCTTTCTGGTTCACAAGTCTCAGTCAGTGGGTTGAAGGAGAGGGAAGAGTTCCCTCAAGCGCCTGACTGCATAAGCATCCGGCTTCACACCACAACTGTTAGTCTTCCTTTAGGAGTCAGCCTACTGCATAAAGCCTCCTGTGGCAAGAGCATCAGAAATAAAGGTAATTTTGAATTGGTAGCAGCTGCCTAAAAGGACAGCATGTCAAAGATACAGAGGCCCATTTTCAAATAATATGACATCAAACTTTTGAATTGATCGCAGTTGTTCCCATTTGATTTGTACCTATAAAACACTAGAACATCAGAAGCTGCCTGATGTATTAATAAACCTCTCAGGTTTTCAGAGCTACGATTATTAAACTGTTAAAGGAGAAACCTCCCCCCCATATATATAAAAAAGCATACTGCCATGTCTAACTATTAAAGCAAATTAGAAAGTTTTAATTCCTTGACCTCTTCCTGTTCTAGCATGTGTAATGAATTTTCAGATGCAGGGGAGACGAGTCTCGCTTTCCCTTGTTGGTGACCCGTGATTTCTGCTTCAGTCGCCACGTGATGCATTTCTTATTGAATTTTTAAGCCTGGCTGAAAGAGCTTCATTTGAATTTCAGAAATACCTGATGTTAATTTAACACAAATTACATTGACACCAGCAGATACGTTGATGGGAACAGTTTGTAGTTCAAAAGACAGGGAGAGAGAGAAATAAGTTTGATGAATACCCGAAGGCTATGTGAAACGCAAACTGTGCCTGGAATGGGGAAGTAGGACATAAGGAGAAAATTCAATTGAAAAAGAAGATGGCACCAGTGGTGACTTGTGTCCACTAGACCTGGTTGGACAGCTCGGAGGTCATGAGGGCGTGGCCAATGAAAGGTGAAAGGGGCGTGGCCAAGTTGCTTTGGTTTTCTCCCCATCATTCTCCCTTGCAAAGCTATGGTGGGCAATTTAAGTGTTGCTGGTATAGAAATAGCACCAACTAAACTGAAAAGTGCCCTACTTTGGTTCAGAAGGGGTCCCTCTTGTCACAATTGTTTGTGTGGGTTAATGCCCAAGAAGCTGTACGTTACTCAGAAGTAAGCCCCACTGAATTCCATGGGGATTGCTCCCTAAGTATGTACAGGACTGCAGCCTAAATTGGTTAAAGGTGTCATCCAGGACTGTTAACAAGGGACCTCCACAAATTTCTACCCCTATGGGAAAAGATTATTTTCCCTCCCCCAGCTTAATCACTTCTACATCTTTTTTCCAGAATGTGGAATAAGGTGGAGGGATATTAAGTGGATTAGGACTTGGGAGACTGTGAAATTCACTGTGTGACCTTGGGCCAGTCACTGTCTTTCAGCCTAAACTACCTCACACAGTTGAGTCTTGAGTTCCTCTCAGGCTGCAGGGACACGTTTGGGCCTT